TTTTTCTTAATTATATGAATAATTATTCAGATTGATGAAAAGAAGGACCAGTTAAAGTCATTCATATTTCTACCACTTTTGGCAATTCGGAGTAACCCTCCCATGGTTTCTCTCCTCATGTAGGATAGAAGCCCCCTCCATATTCTCCCACAGAAGGGTTTCTTCTCCCTCTCACTTCACTCTTAGAATAAAGACAACTAAGGAAATTGGGAACGTGCTTTTGAAAGATTCATGACAGTCCTAGAAAGATCCTAAGATGGGAAGCCAAAGAGAAAAGCAGTTAAAGAAACCTTATCACTGTCTTCAGAAATACTACTTTATCAAATAACTTATCAAAGAATAAAATTATCAATTTTATCTAAAATGTTCAAGCTGGAGAGATGGTTTGGCAGTTAAGAGCACTGGCTGTTCTTGCAGAAAGACCTGGGTTTGAATCCCAGCACCGCACATGGTGGCTTAGGGATCCAAGGGATCCGACACCCTCTCTGTCCTCCGTGGGCATTGCATGATATGGATGCACTTACATACATACAGGCATAACACTCATACACGTAAAATAGAAATAAATTTTAAAAATAGATAATAAAGTGTTCAAGGTTATTGTGTATATTATTAATATGTATATATTAAATTTCTGATGAATAAAATTTGCATAAATAACAATATTTTAGGTTTTGTTTTTGTATCATGAAATTTAAAATTAATGGATTGCTTCTTTTGCTTTAACATCAGTTAATATTTCTAAATAATCATACACTTTTAATAATAGAAAGCCGCTTTCACAGTTATGATTCTTTCAGAATAATCCATCATAGAACAATACCTGTATACTTTAAAAGTTACATCCATGATTTTGTTTGGTCATGAACCCCTGAATTTTTGTGTGTATGTATGAGTGTATTGCTTGCATGTGTGTAAATGCACCTGTGTCATGCAATGCCCTCAGAGGTCAGAAGAGGGTGTCAGATCCCCTAGAACTGGAGTTACAGACAGTTGTTGGCCATCACGTGGATGCTGGGAATTGAATGCAGGTCCTCTACAAAAACAGCCAGTATTCTTAACCACTGAACCATATGTCCAGCCCCAACCCCTGAATTTTAAAAAAGATACAATGGACAAAATAACTTCATTTATAATAACAATTATTTGTGCCAGAGCTAGGGTTGTAGCTTGGTGATAGAGTCCTTGCCTTGGGTTTCATCCCAGCACTACAGTAAAAGGAAAGGAAAGGAAAGGGGAAAGGGGAAGCAGGAAAAGGGGAAAGGGGAGAAACGGGAGAAAGGGGAAAGGGAAAAGAGGGAAGGGAAAAGATACTATTTTAGAGTTTAACAAAATTATTGTAATTTTCAACTGGGAGAAAAAGTTCTTAAGGATAATGTGGGAGTTAATTTTGCCAAATATCACAATATGCCATTACATATTTAGAATAATATAGGGGCTGGATAGATGGCTCAGCAGTTAAGAACACTGGTTGTTCTTCCTGAAGACCCAGGTTTGAATCCCAGCACCCACATGGCAGCTAACAACTGTCCGTAACTCCAGTCCCAGGGTATCCGACACTTACCTACATGCAGGCGATACACTCATACACATAAAATAAAAATAATAAATAAAATATTTTAAAATGATATAATTTTAGATGCAAGAATAGACCAGTCAATGGAAGGGAACAGAAAGCTAAAAAATACCCCATGTATGTATGCACATGTGTAGGGAGTGCCATTTGAGGTTCTAGGATTTCAGATATGACCAAAAAGAAAGAGATTGATCAGTGCCCATATGCCCATAACTGCAGCACAGGTCAGTAAATAATTCCTTTTTTTTTTTTTTTGGCCTTTTTGAGACAGGGTTTCCCTGTAGGCCCAGCTGGCCTGGAACTCGCCATATACACCAGGCTGGCCTCGAAGTCACAGAGATCCACCTGCCTCTGCCTCCCGCATGCTGGGATTAAAGGCGTGTGCCACCACACCTGGCAATAATTGTTATAATAATTCTTATTTATTTCTTAGAATGGTTTCCTCCTTAGGCTTTGACCTTCACCACTTTGCCACCTCCCTACTACCCTCTCTTTTTCCTTCTTCCATCCTAGATCCCTCAAAAAAAAGTCTTCCTCTATCTCTCAAGACAGGTCCCAAATTCTTATTGCTGTATTGTGCAGTCCACTTGGCCTTCTTCTTTGCCCAACTTTGTGAATGCACTTATCCTCAGATTTCAGTGAAAAAGGAAAAAAAAAAATCTAAATAGAAGAAATTCCTTCACTGTAAGATTTCTATTTTTAGTCCTCATAGATCAACTAACCAACTTAAATTATAGCCAGGTTTTACCATCTAGACCATCTCACCAGCCCTGTAGCCAGGGTTTTATTATTTTGTTTTGTTTCACTTATTTTTATTTTATGTGTACAAATGTATTACCTGCATGTATGTAAGTGCACACGTGTCGTGCTGTGCCTATGGAGGTCAGAAGAGGGAGTCAGATCCCTCTGAAACTGGAGTTAGGGATGGTTTTTAGCCACCATATCAGTGCTGGGAATCAAACCTGGGTCTTCTGCAAGAACAGCCAGTTCTCTTAACTGCTGAGCCATCTCTCCAGCCCCATAAATCCAGGTTTTAAAGCAGCATTTTTTTTCACCCTGCAGTACAAAGAAATGAAGAAAATATTCAACGTCTCTAGTAATCTAGAAATCAAAGAGATGTAAATTAAAGCTACCATAAATGACTGTTTTCCTCCTATGCAATTGTTTTTCCTCCTATGTGATTGGCAAGGATGAGAAAGAGCAGTCATCCTGGTGAGGGCAAGATAGAGGAAAGGACACCTTCACACTCAGAAGCAGCAGTATGAATTGTTAAAGTGTTTCTGGTAGTAAGGATACCAAAAGAATTATTTATTGTGTATATCCTCAGCCTTGCAACTCCCACTCATAGAAATTCTGTTTTAGCACATAATCAGAGTTGTTCTCATTCATGCAAGCTTGGTTTCTAAGTATTAGGTCCATCCTAAACATTTTGAAGAATCTGACTTGACATTGAGAAATGTCTAATAGGTGGGCTGGAGAGTTTGCTCAGTGGTTAAGAGCACTGACAGCTCTTGCAGAGGACCCAGGTTTGATTCCCAGCACCCACATGGCGACTAAGAACTGTCCATAACTCGAGTTCCAGGAGAATTCGACACTCTCTTCTGACCTCCACAGGCATTGTACAACATGGGTGCACTTACATACATGCAGGCAATATACTCATACATATAAAATAAAAATAATAAATATTTTTTTGAAAAAGAAAAGGGCTGGAGAGACGGCTCAGTGGTTAAGAGCATTGACTGCTCTTACAGAGGACCTGGGTTCAATTCCCAGCACCCATATGGTGGCTAACAACCATCTGTGACTCCAATTCCAAAGGAATTCGATGCCTTCTTCTGACCTCCCTGGGCATTGCATGACATTGGGTGCACTTACATACAGGCAATATACTCATATACATAAAACAAAAAAATTAAAAATTTTAAAAAATTTTAAAAGAAAGAAAAATGTCTAATGGGTGTGAAATAAAATTAGGTGAAATTTGTAAAGCATTATATAAATGTGGGAATATTTTCATGTATATAAAACTGCACTAAGAGCCAAAGGATGTAAGTGCTGTTCATTAAATGTCTGTGTGCTTAGTCTTTCACTGTGTTTCGGGCTGGAGTATGTTGAAATTTTAAACTTGGTTTTTTAGCACTTTATCCTCTTATTGGACTGTTATAGGGTATGATGAAGTTCACTTGTTCCTTGCACATCCAGTAGGTGTAGCTGTAGTCACTAGGAGGAGCAGTGGACACAACCAGACAGACTTGAATCCTGTTCCTGTCACACATTTGTCCAATAACTTAAATTACTTGAAGATCAGAATGTCGACATTGTGGGGTGGTTAGTTCAAAGTATGATGAGAGGTGTAACAGAGACTGCTCCCTGTGCAGTCTGATAAATACTGATAAATACTAGTATGTTATTCCTTTACTTTTCCTTCTAGAAGTTTCTCTCTCCTCAGTATCTAACCTGCAGGATTATACTGAAGACTGGCCTAATGAATTTCAAAACTTTGTTAGCCTTAAAGCATTGTGAAAATGTTAGCTATTAATATTTGAATAATTTTGTTACTATAAGTAATCTTACATAAGTTTCATGTATGCATACATGTATATGTGTGCTTATGTTGCAGACTGTATAGTTTGTTAAAGGATAAGTGCAAAGGAAGACATTGGTGAGGCTGGTAATCACTGAGGGAACTTCCTTGGTACATGGGAATGGAATGGAAATGAATTAAGGCAGATTTTGAATATGAAAAGCAGTATATAGAGAAACATATGGTGGGAAAAAGGCAAAGTAAATAGTGTATTCAGAAAGTAGTAGTAAGATCAGTCTGGGTACAGTGTGATTTTCTTAAAATTTCATTGAACAGAGTAGGTAGAAGAGTTCTTACCTCCCTGAAATAGAGAACTTTAAAAAAATAGTTTTAGAACAAGATAGTAACAGATTGTTACCAACATATCAATGTGTTATAATATGTTTAGTAATGGAAGGTAAGCAAAATAAATTGTCTGTTGGCTCATTTTTTTCCTTTCACAGTATATAATTTGAATTTCTCATTTATTGGTGATAACTATTGCAAAATGCCTTAAAATCTTTATATTCTTAAAATACTACATTACTGGGCTAGATATAATTTTTTAATTTAACTAAAAAACCCACCACCCCCGGAATGCTTTCTGAAACTTATTACTATGATATTTGTGTTATTTGCTACTTCCATTGACTTATAAAGATTTGTTTTTCTGTAGATTTTCAATAGGTGGTTCTAATATCCTCTATAATTTGTGTGAACTGTCTGGTAAAAGAAAGGGGATTTAAATAACATACAATTATTAGTACTTATTCAGATAACTTAGCAATGATATATTCACTTTCAATGTTCTACTGAAAGTTCCTTTTTTCTAATATCCTTTTTCCTGTTTCTCTACAGTATGGATGGAGCAGACCTGTGTTTTGAAATTGTAAAGCGTGCTGATGCTGGTTTTGTGTACAGTGAAGCTGTAGCCAGGTATGTAATCTGCATCTAATTCCCAGATGTTAAAGTGGAAGTAAAAGAAGGAACTCTGACAAAGAAACCCTACAAAGTAACCTTCCCTTTTGTCTGCGAACATACTGCTGCTCTTCTCTCCAAAGAACTAGCTGCTTCCAGATAGTGGCTGGAAATGTGAAATGCCAGACAATGGCTATATCTGTTAACATGGGTTTAAATTCCACACCAGAACTGTCTTTGCCATTCCCAATGCCTTTGTACAGAGAGGAATTTGGTAGCTCAGGAACCATGTAGAATGAAGCTTGAGGTCTTTGCTTGATGTTTGGCTTTGGCAGATACACCTCATTAGTTCTTTCTTTTACTTTTTGGTGATAGCAAATTGTTTTGTGGCCAGTTAATCTAAGAAAAACGCAAAATGGTAAAAGGAACAAAGAACAACCATTTTTCTGTTGGGTATGTTTGCTTCAGGCCAGTATGGTCTCCCAACCAAAGGATGATTGTTATTCTAGGTGGAAGAGTAGTCAAAAAAACCTAATGATTCCAGAAAGAAGTAAATATGAAGCATCATGGTAGCCATGCATGCATGACACCACTGGCTTATAGATTTAGAGCAATACAGCTTTCTGCTTTGATTATATTCAGTCATAGCAGAATCATACACTGGCGGGTTGCCTATTTAATACATGAGATACAACAATCTTCCTCAGTCACTGGCCAGAATATTTTGAAGGGTAAACTCACACACCTACTCGGATTTCTTACAACTTTTTATCATTTGAAAAACAGCTACCTCCCTCCTGTCATTCCTTTTATGACTATAGAATCATAGAAGGACATAGCAGGAAGCAACTAAGAAAATACCTTAATACAACTTTAAGTTCCACATGGCTTGGCTGAGGAGCAAAGGCCCCAGTCTCAGAGATGAAGGGAACTTACTGTAGCACAGGACTAGAATACACTCAGTGAGAAATAGCTGGGTTGTTTCTTTGTTTTTTGGTTTTGTTTGTGTTTTTGTAGTACTGGGCTGGGGAAAAGAAGCAAATCAAAGTTGGTATATGTTAGCTATAATTACTTCCTTGGATTCCTGATGTATGGTACAACTAAAGCTAAATATCCTTTTTTTGTTCTTTTTGAGACAGGGTCTCCCTGTAGTCCCAACTGGCCTGGAACTCACTATGTAGACCAGGATGACCTCAGTCTCACAGAGATCTACCTGCCTCTGCCTCCCAAGTGCTGGGATTAAAGGCATGCACCACCACTCCAGCTTAAAAAAACATCCTCTTATGTGCCATGTTCTCTAAAGCACATTCTGGATGCTTTTAAGTATCACTTTTCTATTGTTGAGTTCATATCAGAGTTTTTAAATATTTTTTTTCTTGTATTTCAGAAGCAAAAAGCATCCTCTAATACCAAAACCAGTCAATGTTATCTTGATTTTTCTTGTGGCACTTGTGACGCACT